GTTGTAATGTGACAAAATATGGAAAAGTTCAAGGGGTATGAATACTTTTGCAAACCACTGTATATTTTCAAACTATTTACTGGCAAATTTAGTCTAATAATTGAAAACATGGATGAAATAAGAAATATGAAACAAATAAAATAAAATACATACAAAGCAGAACACAGCTAAATGTATCAAAAGTATGTCTATTTAATATTAGAATTTTCTGAGACAACAAATTTTGGTTTTTCATTTTTTCCTCTGTAAGAGGTTTTTTTAATAGAATTTTTGGACAAAAAAAATCACAATATATCACCTTGCTTACAGTATCGCAATATATCGGGATATATCGTATCGTGACCCCTCTGTCATGAAATATATCGTATCGCCAAATTCTTGCCAATACACAGCCCTACAAGTTATAGGACCACAAATACTCCTATTTTATTAATTGATGAAATGTCCCATGAGCCTTTGCTGCCTGAGCATACGTCACACTTTCTTCAAGTTCACGGGTTAAAACCAACAAAAAAACATGAACAACACTAGCTGCTAGTCTAATTGTAAAATAAATGTATAATTAAAGAACTTCACTGAGAAAGTATTTCATGTATTATATCACTGCAATTGGTCCGCAGCCCTTGGATAGATTTTCATTTTGGCYCTCTTGAGGAAAAGTTTGGACACCCTTGCTCTAGAATGTCAAGCTGTATGCATGTAAATGTTCATAAGCAGCCATTTATCTATTAATTATTAATTACTCAACAYGCCACAGATCATCCCCCACCCCGGTAATACCTTATCAAGAAGAGCAATACTGTGCAACCCCATTACAGACTGAAAAAAGCTTTAAAAAGGCWTAAATTTGGCAGATTCTGATCATGTGCTGAGCCATCTGTGCAATCCTACAGTTGTTGTTTGTCTTTTTTCAGCTCAGAGCTAATTAATACGGTGTTGTGACATTATTGCAACTACAAAAAGTGAAATGTCAAGATGTCGTTTTGGTGGTGTGGTGCTTATGTGTGAACTTGTTACTTTTTTTTTTTGCTCCAAACATTCCAGAGTTGTTAACACCTACTTTATGTTAAAAGCCATGTCTTTGAAGACAAAAYTGTCTTTCTGTAATCCTCACTGCTAAAAGACAATTCAACAGAAAGCTTCAGTTCTGCAGAATTGTTTTGTGTTGCACGTTTGATCACATCTGCCTCTCGACCCAAGCGGTTTGCTTTGGAAACCAGTGAAAAACAGAAACAAAGTCATTTGGTTGCTTGAAGCCAAATTTCAACTCATTGCCACGGATTACAGTAAAAGAAAACGTCCAACTTAGGAGGAACTCTTGTGAGTTTGTGTGTTCTTGGAGCAACATCCTGGGAATGGGTTTTGTCTTTCAGAATTCTTTGTTACTTTTGGTTGTGTTCACTGAGTTTAAACTTCACACAATGCAGTGGGCCTCCATCCCTTCAAGCCCATCATCTCTACCTCACTAACTTTAACGTCATCTCAACAAAACTCCCATCTTCTACGTTTTAACGTCAGAGCATGTAAACGTGTTTGCTTTTGTTACTCAAAAATTCACGACTAAATCCTTTATCGGAAAAGAAGTGACTTCTTTTATGTGACCCTTTCTTCTCTTCTCTCCCAGCAGTCTCGTGAACAGTCGGATGACGAGCAATCCGAGGACTCTGTGAAGTTCAGACGGCTGCACAAGTTGGTTAATTCAACACGCAGAGTTAGGAAAAAACTCATCAAGGTGGAGGAGGGCAAGAAACATTCTCCTGAAGGTCTAAGATTCTGTGTGATGATGTATTTAGTGCCTCGCAGTACAATTTTTAGATATTACCGTATTTATTCAAGTATAATACATAAAATTAAATCCATAAAATCATCCATAAAGTTGCGGGGTAGTACTATACTCGGATAAATATTTTTACTTATGTATTTTAACTTAAATATTGGCTTCATTCTCAAAATGCCTGAGTCCGGAAATGAGACCGCGTCTTAAAAAGCAGTTGAAACGAGCTCACCTCTGACACTCCTCTGTGCTTCAGAGCGAGATAATAACAGATCCAATGATGTGAAAAAAGAAGAAAAAAGTATTCCTGCACCTTAGTAATTATAACGAACTAATGACATTAGCGTGTGACCGGGCCGCTCCTCAAACAACAACAAACATGTTCGTCTGTAATGGCTGCCGTCTACCGGTGTTCTGAAAAAGTTTGTATCCCTGAAAAAATGTTTCTCCACCAGAGGGGGCGCTCGTGAGTAGGAAGTAATCTGCTTTTCCCCCACAAGATGGCCCAAATCTCATGTGAAGTCTCTGACTTTTGTGTTGGCGCCTCCTGGTGGACAATGTGTAAAATGCCAGAATTAATATGATGCTGCTACAACTGATATATATTTGTTGTCAAAATAACTTTTAGTACATATGTTGTTAAAATAAAATGAACAGTCCAATGATTATTTTACTGATATGTATAAAGACTGCAAAGGCTGAAAWATCTTGAAGTCTGAATGAAATTGGAGGTAGTTTGAGGATTAAATTTTTTATGCTTTTTAAGATCAAAAAGGCGGTCGTAATAGACATGAGATCGTGTTATACACGAATAAATACGGTACTTCTTATTATTTTGTTAGTTGTTGATTCCAAAGTATTCTAAATCCTTCAGAGAATGAATCATTTCACTGAGTGTTTTGGTCTCTTTTTTTAGATTTTCTGAATTTGGAGACGTCACCGCGCTGCGAAGACAACACCGCTCTCTACACGGGGGTTCTAAAGAAGCCCCCCCTGCCCCAGGAGGCTTCGCTGCACTCCCTCACCCACGACCAACTCTCTCTGGACGGAGACTCGGACAGTTTGACGACCTCGCCGTCGTCCAGCAGCCTGGACACTTGGTCTGGACACAAGCTGGTGAAAACCTTCAGCAAATCTTCCAGCACCCACGGTCTCATCCGGCCCCCGAGGAGAACCACGGTTGCCTCCAGCGACCTCGGCGGCTCCATCTCTGGCGTAGCGGGTAGTGGCTCGTCCTTCTCAGAGCTCGATGGGTGCGGTTTAGACGATGAGGGGAAGCTGCAACGCTCCACAACGGATGGCGAGATGAGGAAGGCCCTAAGCTCCATATCTCACGGGGTAAGTAACAACGAGGCCCTCTACGCCTTCTATGGCCTCACTAAACCTCGCCCTAAACCCCACTCCCAGTCACGCCTCCTCATCTCCCTGGATGACGGTCCTCAAGGCAGTCCCAAACACCAAATTGCCAATCGCCACCAGGGTAGCTGGACGCACCGAAAACCCGACCCCAACTACGCATATTCCACCAAGCACCTGCTCTACCAGCGCTCGCGCAGCGCCAAATGCCCCATCTCCCCCCTGTCTGTCACCCCCTCCTCCCCCATACGCTGCGACGTAGCTAAGTCGAAAGGTTTTGGAAGCGGYGCAGGGGGCTGGCTGTTCCCGCCTCGAAGGCTGCGAGGCCGAACCGCTGTCAGCGAGCTGAACATCACCTATGTTGTAGAACGAAGCCTCTATGGCCACCTGAACTGGGCCCAGCTGGTCCGCCCGGTGACCCTCAGCCGTGCTGAGCGCCGCTGTCTGTTGGAGGAGGACCGCGAGGTGGACAGGAAGTGGGCGGCCAGCGTGGACCGCTGCACGAAGCGGGTGCTGTTGCGCATCCAGCAGAAGTCTGTGAGTTTGGACCTCGAGGTTTAAATCGGCCGCCGCTTGTGAGCAGTACTTCAAAGTTGCAGAATAGCTCCTGGTTTCTACGTTCAGACGAGGAGTGTATGTACAAATACAGAAAACAGAACAAGTATATAGTATTATTCCCTTTTAATATATGCGTATTTAAAAAAATATGGTTTAGGTTTGTATCAGTGGTGGGCACAGCTGACCAAAATAGTTAGGTTCACCAACCACTAATCCGCTAAAAACGAATCTTTGCACCGCTGACTAAGCAGATTTTAAAGGGATCCACGATTAGTTGTAACATTAAACTTTATTTGATAAACATTTATTTTAACTGTAAAAATACTGTAGGATGTTTGGTTTTGTAAAATTTTTAAACTATATAAAAACACGGACGGAGCCATTTTATTTACACGCAAAGCATTCTGGGTAAATGATGACATCTACTAGGTCCTCGGTGCGAGGC